AGGATTAGCGAGGAGGTACGCTTCGATGGCCTTGAATAGGTCAATGGCTTTCCCTTTGCCTACATTGTGTTCTTCTTCACTAACAACATGATCACCCTTTGTGTGATACTCAGTTGTTGTCTTGCAAACACAACCTCCATCTCCAGCAGCTTCAAATTTGACATCATAGGCAATTGATTCCAATTTGTCACCAAGAACATCACCTTCAATAAGTGAATATTTTGTTACCAAATTCTTGTCATCAATCACATGAATCTTGTGCTTCAAGTACTTAATTGGTCCACCTGTCATTAACAAAAAAATTAAATTAAGTTTCATATATATTATCGATGTAAATAATTTTTTACACTATGAAATCATTCAAACAACAGGGTCAAAACAGGTTTAGTTAATAAATAAGCAGATTACTGATCCGTCCAAAAGTTAGACTGAAATGTAGGTCATATAACACAACATGTCCAATTATTACTAATTTAGTTTTTTTTTTTCATGTATATATAAATTTTTTGTAGTACCTTGTATATGTGTAAAGTAGTAACATATTAAGAGCCTGTTTGACTTAGCTTAAAAGCTGGTCAAATTGACTTAAAAGCTGATTTTTGACTTATTTAACTGTTTGGCAATACTCAAAATAGCTTATTTTAAGTTAAAAAAAACTTATTTTAAGCCAAAAGTTAAAAACTGGGGTAGGGGTGTTTTTTTTTTTTTTAGCTTATAAGCTGTTTTAAGTTGATCACATCTTTATCTTTTTGCCCTTAATATTTTTATACAATTTCCAAGTTACACATATAACCCTAACATCTCTTTCTTCCATTTTTCGCTTTTCACGTTTGGCATAACAACTTCAGCACTTTTATCCAAATGCATAACTGTTTATTTTAGAAATAAGTTTCAGCACTTTCAAAAGTACTTTTTTAAAGCTGTTTTTATTAAGCCCATCCAAACGGGCCCTAAATAAGAAAATATTCTGACAAAAATTCTCATAAATTAATTTAGACTATATATTATTTTTAATTTCTTACCCAGTAAACTAATAAATGAGTAGGTCAATAACTTTAATTTCCCAAACTTAGGTGGATTAGACATGTTAGGTTGATAAACTAACTCTGTCACCTTTATCTATATTTATGTCTTTAATAATATATGAGATTTGACTTCGTTATATATATCGAACATCGAATCGAAAAAAACTGGTTTAAGCTGAGATCATAAACATAAAACAAACCTTCAACAAAGTTCATTTGCTTGATGCTTCCAGCACCACCATCTCCCTCAACAATCTCAATGCTCTTAACATCATGTGACAACAATTTAGGTACAAGGCTATCAAAATCAAGAACCAAACCTTTGAATAGCCTTGTTGGGGCAATTGTGGTTGTGGACTCATGAGTAAAGGTGTTTACACCCATAATGTTTGATTAAGTATTTATATTTTGAAAGAAAAAAAGATATGAAAGAGAAAGGATAAGATGAATATAATGCTTTGAAGTGTGTGTGATATATTGAAAGTTTTAGATGGTATTTATAGGACAAAAAATGAAGTGAGATTTTGGTTGATTATTATGTAAGTTTTGTCCCTACCTTGAAAAGTCATATAAAACTCGATCATGTTCGACAATAGTTGTTCAGTACTATATTATTATAAAATGTCCAATAATACTTATCCACGATATATTATTAGTTATAGTCATTTTTATTACATTTTTTAAAACGTTATATTTATAATCATATTCAATGAGTGATATAGTAAAATTATCCTTTTATTTATAATTTTTAAAAAAGTGTCCACCGTCAATACTGAACAAATATTATTAGACAGAAAAAATATAAACCTTTGGACAAATGGTGAACAATTACTCGTATTCAGTACAAGTAGAGTGAAAGCTATTAAAATCTTTTGAATTTATCTTATCAATCATGATCGAAAAAGACGAAGATATCAAACAAAATATTATCTAATAATTATAAAAGTTATAATTAAAATAAATCGTTAACGCGATCTAAAAGATGTATAAATTGTTGCAAAAGTTATAATTAAAATAAATTGTTAGATCGCGATCTGGAAGGTGTATAAGTTGTTGGAAAAGTTTGGTGAAATTTTAGAATTCTAGTCATGAACAATCTTAACTTTAGTATTAATTTCAACATTCAAAGCAGTGCATTGTTGACAATTTTGTCCATTTTTTATTTTTATTTTTTTCTACATGTTGTGTCACTATCTTTGATAATTAATTTTGTTAGTTGTGACATTGGGAGAATTTTATATAATATGGTCTATAAAAATAAGGCTTGCTGACACGATATTAAGTTTGATTGGACTTTAGGAACCTACCAACTTGGTAGTGCTCATCATGTTTTTTCTCATCGATATTATTCGTGTTGAAATTCGATTAAATATAAATTTACACTGAAAGATCTCGTATAATAGAGTTTATTATATTTTCTAAGACCTCTCGTTAAGAATAAATTATAAGTATTATCATTTCAACTACGATCCTTAATAATAATAGTGTTCATTATATTTGGAAGCTTAGAAGAACGTTCGTTTGCTAATATTATTATCCATCAATATTAATTTTTTGAATTCAAAATTATCTAGTTTCACTCATTAAATTATATAATAAGAAAATGAGTAATGAAAATTACGGTGTCATGAGTTTGAATTTAATGATATTTTGATAGGTGTTTTTATGTATTATAAATAAAAATATATTTTTATATTTATTACTGTTTATATTATGTTATAATACTTTATTTAATCAAACTTTAACTCTGATTGCTTGGAAAAAGAAAAACTTTTCAAAAAAATCATTTTGAAAGTAACCATTTGTCAGTTTATATTTAGGTAATTAATTTGTAAAATATTTTTGTCAAATATTAATGTAGTATAGCTTAATGTATTGTTTAATTAAATATCTCGTAGAGAAGTAATGGAATTATTTTTTAATTTGATATAAATTATTAGTTTTATTTTTAAATTATTAATAGCTTTATAAGAATTTTTTTACTTATCTAACTAAATCTGATATACAAGTGGTTTCAAATTCTTGTAGAAAAATGAAACTTTTCATAAAAAATCGAGAGAAGGGTTGAAAACACTCCTAAATCTGGTGAAACTATAAAGATGTATTTCACTCATCTTATAAAATTAAGGATATTTTTAAGTTCAGCTAGCCAAACAAATGAATATATTTGATATTAAAGATGAAATTAATAATTTACGTTAAATTCAAATGTATTTTAAATACTTCTCTCTATATCTTATATAGTTGTATAAATATCGAATACGAATAATTTTTTTTTTAATACTTATCTTTTTGAGAGGCTAGTTGGTCTTTGATAATTGGGTGGGTGGGTGTGAGGATAATGATATGTAGTGTATACCATATAGTTTCTTCTCTATAGAAAAATCTTTTCAATGTCTACATCTAATTGACTAAGCCAAACATTGTCTTATAGTAAAAATCATGGAGTTGATGAAATCTTGACTAAAGCCATTTGGTAATGTGAAAGTGGCAATTTTTGTATGCACTCTAACTTTTCTCCCATATCATCAATTTTTTTAATTAAAAAAAAATTAAATTAATTTTTAAAAATTTTTTATTTAAAAATTAATAAAATGATCGAATTATAATTGGTCACGTCATCATTTTTCAATAAAATAATTAAACTTCTGAATAAAAATTGTGTCACTTTTTTTTATTTTTTAATTAAAAAATTTGATAACGTGACCGAGTTACAATTGGCCACGTGTCAAAAATAATTTTGCAAAATCATTGTTAAAAAATAATAGCATGAATGAGCATTTACTTTAACGATAATAGCATAAAAATTCAATGGCATATTTAAGTCTTTTCCCTTAAAAAAAATTAACAAAGGTCATTTTCAGAATGTGAAATTTGATTAATTTGAATTTGTATTTTGTAGAGTTATTCTGAGCTCGTCATCTTTAATTAAAAAATAATTAAATATAAAATTTAAATCGAGACTTAAGATTAAGAGTAAAAAGATCTCAACCATTCACTATAACAAAAATAATCATTGGCGACAAAATATATTTCTAAAGCCTTTAGCGATATTGGTTCTAATGGTACTTAACTAATACCAAAAAAGACTTTAGCATTCTTTATTAATATTAATAATTAATATCGTTAAAAGTCGTTTTTATTGTTGCGATTAAATGGGATGTTTGATTGCATATAATATTAGAATAAGACAACAGTAACATAGCATGTTCATGTTATTTTATATATTGATGAGAAAGAAATATACAATTTTTTTCTAAAAATCTTGCTGCAACTAGGTATATGTATTATTGTATTATTTTATTATTCATTTTACCTTCTATTTATCATAAAATAATAATAATAATAATACATGCCTCATAATTTATGCATGGTTCCCTCAACACATATATTAAGATGTATGAATTTTTAAATCGTAAACTAAATATCGTATTATAAAACTTACTGTTAATTATTATTAAATATGATATTATTTATATAAAATATAATATTAATTTCCACGCCTTTAAAATAGAGGTGGATAGAAATTCCATAAAAAAATTTGCTTTCAAATTAAAATGGGAAATCAATCATTTTTAATATTTCTTTAGCTTTTCATCACAATTTTATTTTTATTTTTTTTTGAAAGTTTTGAACTTCCGAAGAATCGTAATTTTTATTACTCTATCAATAATTGAGATATTGAGTTTGATTCTCTTAAAATATGAAATCGCATTTGTTAAGAAGCGCTTTGCTTTCAGTATGGGACTTTTCAACACAAATTCTTTATTATTTATGATCGTAATAGATGTTTGATTAGAAACATAAAAGAACGATGAAACACAAATTTACATGAATTCAGTATCAAAATTACTACTAATTATTTCTAAATATCTAACTATAAACCCACACAAATAATCATTTATAGCTAATATCACTTTAAATCACTCTAGAAATTCGTAAAATTCAAATCACGAAAAATAATATTTGAGGATTAGCTTGTGATAATATTCTTTATTGAAAGTTCTTTCCATGACATACAATTGGAAAATACACACACAACATCAATCAACTTCTACGTCTCTCATTCGAGAGTTTAAACTTCTTAAAAACAACACACACATTTTAAATTATTTAACATCACAACACGTTCACGTACATGCATAATTTCTCACGTGTAGACCTGATTCTTTTTCATCAATATTCAAGCGTAGACAGAAGGATTCGCGAGAAGGTATGCTTCTACAGCCTTGGAAATATTCATGATTCTCTCTCTGCCTACATTGTGTTCTTCTTCACTAACAACATGATCACCCTTTGTGTGATACTCAGTTGTTGTCTTGTAAACACAACCTCCATTATCATTAGCTTCAAATTTGATATCATAAGTAATTGATTCCAATTTTTCTCCAAGAATATCACCTTCAATAAGTGAATATTTTGTTTCTAAGTTCTTGTCATCAATCACATGAATCTTGTGTTTCAAGTACTTTATTGGACCACCTGTCATTAATAAGAAATAATAATTAAGTTTCGTTTATTATAGATGTATAAATATTTTTTACAATTATCAGGTTATTGATAAAAGTATTAAATTAACTAGTTAAATTGAATTTAAGCAGGTTAAAATAGAATAAATTTATAAATTCAAGAGTCAAAAGTTACTTGGGTTGAACTAGTCTAAAATATGGGTCATAACACTAACTTATTCAATTATAAATAGTTTTAAATTTTATTCTCTTTATTTGTTCATTTGTAGCTTTTTTGTAGCTTATAAAATTATTTTCTCTCTATATTATGACTATATAATGTCAATTGTCAAAAGAAAATAATAATTTTAAAAAAAATATTCAGACAAGATTTCTTATGAGTTAATTTGGGCTACATATTATTGATAGGTTTATGAGCTAATAAATAAGCAGGTCAATAAAAATGAAGTGATCAGTTGGGCGGGTTATAATTTTATGCACTAATTTATCATGCATATCCACGGATATGTTTTCCAATGATACGAGATATAAAATCTTGAAAGTAAGACGTATTATAATCGCTATCTAAGTAACCAGTAAGTAGAATTTCGAAAAAATAACAGACGCCGAGCGAAAGAAAGAATCATAACAAACCTTCAACAAAGTTCATTTGCTTGATGCTTCCAACACCACCATCTCCCTCAATAGTCTCATTGTTCTTAACATGTTGTGACAACAATTTAGGTACAAGGTTGTCAAAATCAAGAACCAAAGCTTTGAATAGTCTTGTTGGGGAAATTGTGGTTGTTGACTCATAAGTATAGGTATTCACACCCATAATGTTTTTGATTTATATTTGCTTTTATAACAAAGAGGATTATAAGATGAATTAATGTTTTGAGGTGTGTGTTTTAATGAAAGTTTAAGATGGTATTTATAGGGATATTGTAGGGTGCGTTTTGGTACAAAAGGAAAATAATTTTTTTTAAATAATATAAAATAAATTATTTATTTATTTTCATGTTTGATTAACTTAAAAATATTGTTTTTTTTCCATTATTTTCAACATGGGTTTACTCACTATTATATTTCCTTTTCAGCTTTGAATTGACTAACTTGAGTCGATGGAGGATAAGGTATTCGCGTAAAATACATTGAAAATTCGAGATTAATACTTGACTTGATATTATTATTTTCACTCCCCGCTTCAACTCACTCATATATATAATATTTTTTTACTTATTTATTAAATCGTCATAAACTACTTATCTTTTTAACAAATATTATTTCATAAAAAATATTTTATTTCGTATCAAACGCATCATAAGAGTTTAGTCATTGACTCTAATCTTAATTTCTACATTCAGAGCAGTACTTTGTTGACATTCGTGTTTTTTTTTAATTTTTTTATCTATATATCGTGTCATCATTCTCTAATAATTAATTTATTGGACGGTGGAAACCTAGTATGTATGTTACTAATTTTATTTTTATTATATATATATATATATATATATATATGTTATACTAAAACAAATTATTACGAATAATAATATGATAATTAACATACAAAAAGTAATAAGGCTATAGCTTAAAATATGAAAGGATAAGCAATAATATAACGTCTGATTAAATCATTTTGTTTATTTAAATTGATGTAAAATATCGATCACGAATAAATATTTTTTTAATTTATTTTTTTTGGGACTATTTTTCCTTTGATATTTGGGTTGGTGAGATAGAGGACAGGGATATATAGTTTGTATTCTCTGTAAAAATAAAAAGTATATACATTTAAATTTTGGCATCTTGACTAATTAAGCCAAACATTGTCTTATAGTAAAATCTTTAGTGTTGATGAAATCTTGACTAAGCCAATTAGTAATGTGAAAGTATAAATTTTATATGCACTCCGCCTTAATGTTGAGGTTCGATAAATTTAAATTTATGTAATAAATGATTCATATTTTAAGTAGGGTTATTGTTTTATTTTCTTTAATGTTATTGTCATTTTATAATCTTCATATATTTTCAATCACTAAAAAATAATGAAATAAATAAAACTAGGAGTTATTTGATAACTGATTAGAATTATTAGCTATTATACTTTCGATTCTTTATAAAATAATGGGAAACGACTCAAAAATACTTTTAAACTATGTGATAAGAATAAAAATATCATTTGTTTATAGTTTGGCTCAAAAATGTCTTTACCGTCAATATTTTGATTAAAAAATATCTTTGTAATCAATACTTTGGTTTAGAAAGACCCTTGTAGTTACAAAATAGGTCAAAAATGACCCTTTTCAAATAAATATATTATGATTTTCTTTTTAAACACATCTTCTTCCTAATTAAGATATTATTAAAGAAGACTATTTTCGTTTTCTTTCTTTTAAAATCACTTTAACAAATAAAATGTAGAAAATATTTTAGTTCTTTTTAATCTCATTTTATCAATTAAAATAGAATAATTTCGTGTACACAACATATATATATATAAAATGATAATAAAAAAAATCATTCATTTTGTTCTGAATTGAAATAAGATAAACAGTTAATTTAAAAAATATCATTAAAATAAATGTGTTAAAAAGAAAATAATAATAATATATTTATTTAAAAAGTGAGCATTTTTGACCCATTATATATAACAATACGTGTATTTTTGGACCAAAGTATTGACGGAAAGACGTTTTTAGACCAAACTATAAATGGAGGGCATTTTTGTTCATTTTGCTTAATTTAAGGGTATTTTTGAACCAAAATATTAATAGCAAAGATATTTTTGAGTCAAACTATAAACGAAGATCATTTTTATAACTTTCACGTAGTTTAATAATATTTTTTACATTTTCCCCTAAAATAATACATTTATAGAACTTTTGAGGAATAGAAGCTTCTATTTGACTGATAAATTTTAAAAGCAATTTTATTTAAAATTTAATCCTAAATTTTACATTGAAATACCCACCTAAATGGAGGGTCATTTCGGGCATTCTATTTAAAAGAATTATAATAGTTTGATTTGGTAATTAATAAAAATGAAAATAAATAAGCAAATAAAAAATAAAATCGAGTACTTGGATAAATCAAACATTGACGTATTATTTAGGATGTATTTATTTCGAAGAAAAATGTTCTTAAATTTTTTCATGTTTAGTTGACTTATATGTTTTCTAAATAGATTTATTTATCAAATTTTTAGAAAATGAATTCCCTTCGTAAAGTAAGAATTTTTTTTCAAAACTATCTTTCAACATCACCATTAAGTGTCGAATAGCGGCTCTCAACCTCGACTTAGGATTTGAATCCTAGTTTCGACTCTAACTATGGATCCTGACACGGTTTAACTTATTCACAACCTCAACCTTATTTCCAACCCAAACCCAGGTTAGAGTTAGGTCTCGAATTGACATTGAGGTTGAATCTTGTATTTGTCTATATATATTATATTTATATATTTTTAAATAATATATTAATCAAACCTGACCTACCAAAATAGTGAGTGTCATTTAGGAAAACCCAAAACCTTAAGTGTGCCAAAAATTTTATATTTTTTTTTTTTTCATAATAATACTTTATTTTAACTTACTCATGAAGAATTCAATTTTGAAGCAAGATGAAGAAGATTTTTTTACCCCTAAACCTTCATGTATCAATTTTTTAGCATCCTTTAAAAAGCATAAATGTAAATGAATATTTTAACTAAAAATTATCAAACTAGTTTTTTGAAGTGTACCCTTTTTTTTGGTTTTTTACACATTCCTTATATTATTGATTCGCTTATAATAGAGTTTAAAAACCCAAAAAAATTTATTTTTTTTTGAAGGTTTGGACCCATAATTTAATATACACATAATCATGTGTTAGTACAGTGAATAAAATTACTTTTTCCTTTGTCAAATTTTGAATTCGAATTTTGAATTGAAGAAAAACATATTTTTTTAAAATCTGAATTAATCCGACTTTTTTATGGATAATAAACCAAATAAAACTTAAAATTTTCCAACAACATTTTTTAAGATTGTTCTATTAATTTAATATATAAAGAATGTACATTTCAAGGACATTTTGATAAAATGACACAAATGTCAAAAATGGACTACTTTGAATGTTGAAATTAAGGTAAAAGGAATTAATTGTTGATTTAATTCTAAGAGTGTAACTTTTTTTTTTTCACCTATAAATACCATAAAACAATATCTCATTATCACACATTCTCACACACAACATTTTATATATCCTCTTTTTTTTTGTCTAATAACATCATGGGTGTCACTAGCTATACACATGAAACCACAACACCAGTTGCCCCTACTAGGTTGTTCAAAGCTTTGGTTGTTGATTCTGATAATCTTATTCCTAAGTTGATGCCACAAGTTAAAAATATTGAGGCTGAGGGAGATGGAAGTATCAAAAAGATGAACTTTGTTGAAGGTAATATAATAATCGATCTGATTGTGTAAATATTTTTTGCATCGTTAGTGGATAGGACTAATTAAATTATATACTTGAAATATTAGACGTGTGAGTTTTCTATCAAAAATTCTATTGCATTGATCAAAATGTTTAACTTTTTAAATTTTCCAAGAAAATACTATATTTTCACAAGTGAGGTCTGGGGACTGGGGGAGCAGAGGCGGAGTTGTATAGACCATAACCTGTCTTTTGTGAAGTAAAGAGGTTATTTCTGATAGACCTACAGCTCGTTAAGTTCATTTTTTTTTTTTTGGAATAATTGTAGGTTCACCAATCAAGTACTTGAAGCACAAGATTCATGTTGTTGATGACAAGAATTTGGTGACCAAATATTCAATGATTGAAGGAGATGTTCTTGGAGACAAACTTGAGTCAATTTCCTATGACCTAAAATTTGAAGCTCATGGAAATGGAGGATGTGTTTGCAAGTCTATAACTGAGTATCACACAAAAGGTGATTATGTGTTGAAGGATGAAGAACATAATGAAGGCAAAAAACAAGCCATGGAACTTTTCAAGATTGTTGAAGCATACCTCCTCGAGAATCCTTCTGTCTACGCTTAAGTGATGAAATAAGAATCAGGTCCACACGTGTTATATAACGTGTTTGTGACATTATATAATAAAGTATATACCCTCATTAAAAAGTTAAAAATCTTTTAAATGAGATTTATGGTTTGAGTTTTCATTAATGTTATAGTGCTTTTTGTTGAGTTGTGTGTTCTTTTTCCAAGTTTATCATTGGGAATTAAGAACTCTTAATAATGTAGCAACCTTTAATTTTGCTTATCAAATACTTAATAGTAAAAAAATATTTTACTTTTCGAAAATAAAAATTGTGGTGATCAGTTAGTGTTACTATTATATTTGTAGAATGTTTCGACTTAGTATATATATCGACTAATTTTCGTATTCAGTTAACTAATATCATATAAATTGAAACAAAAGGAGTATTACGATTACGTTAGAATGGTTTTTTAGCAGTGATTATTAGTAGATAAAATGTACACATTAACATTTCTTTTAGAGACTGAAATGAATTTATACCACATCGTTATAAAATAGGTACATTTAGTTATTTTTAATAGAATTAGAGAGAATGTTGTATGCCGAGCTTAGTAATGTGGGCTTGTAACCCAAATGGGGGCATTAATGTGGTGGAATGTTGGGCTGTACCAGATGGTTGGGCTTGGTGGGCTAATTTCTGACTTGCCCTATCCAAGCTTAGAGTTGGATCATGTGGCCCAATTGAAGAAATGGACTACTTGATTCGTAAAGTGGGGCGGAATGCGTGAGGCTGGTTTCACAGAGCAACGATAAGTTTCCGCTCTAAGCGGTGGAAGGATAACGAGTCGGTGTTCTCTGAGTCCAGTAACGCCTGATGGGTTGCTCCAATTAAACCACCATTTTTCTTTTTGGAAAGTTACGATAAACCACAACTTTTTCTTTTGATGGGCTGCTCCAATTAAACCACCATTTTTCTTTTTGGAAAGTTACGATAAACCACAATTTTTTCTTTTTCATTTGGGGGGAGTTACGATAGTAGATAGTTAAACGTTGTCTCACATTCATGCGGATAAAGTTGGTGCATCATACTTGTTTTTCCTTTCATACTAGTAATACATTAAACATTATTTTCGTTGTTTTTTACCCTTCGATTAATTCACAATTTTATTGTTATTTTTAGTAGACTAAAATGACTTTAACGTAAGTGGATTATTGATGATTCATATACCAGATTCCAACTCGTTTATGACCGAGTCCAGTAACGCCTGATGGGCTGCTCCAATTAAACCACCACTTTTTTTTTTTGGGAAGTTACGATAAACCACAACTTTTTCTTTTTCTTTTGGGGGGGGGGGGGGAAGAGTTACGATAGTAGATAGTTAAACGTTGTCTCACACTCATGCGGATAAAGTTGGTGCATCGTACTTGTTTTTTCCTTTCATACTAGTATACATTAACATTATTTTCGTAGTTTTTTACCCTTCGATTATTTCACAATTTTATTGTTATTTTTGGTAGACTAAAATGACTTTGACGTAAATGAAGAAATATGATTATTGATGATTCATATACCACATTTCAACTCGTTTGTGATCGAAATATAACTATTTTTATATAATCGAAATCTGAAATAAAAAGACATTGATTAGTGAGAATTTATATATATATTTGTTTCTTATTTGAGATATAAGCTAAATCATAATTATCGGTAGAAGAAATCGTTGCTAATATACTAGCAGAATTAGAAACGGAAATATAGTTTAAGAAGTAATAAAATTGTGTTTTCTTTAGATATATATATATTATATTATTTGGACATAAAACATATTTGTTGTATCTTTTACGACATATATCGTAAGATATTATGATACAAATATATAAAATTATGCTCCTATTATACGTATTTATTTGTTAACTTTTGTAAGGATACTCGATAATAGAAAATTTTGAAACGAAGACTTCTTCTGCGATTCCTATTTTCTCTATAAGGGTCATTTGATCATGGAAAAATTATATGAATTAATACATTTTTAAAAATAAATATTGATTTTAGCGATACTTTTTGTTTATTACTATGTACTGTGATAAATTTGTAATATGTATTAAAAGTGAATTATTTATGCAATATATTTGAAGTATAATTGTATTTGAAATATATTATGTTCGTTTGGTAAAAAATTATTACATTATATTATAAGTGTATTAAAATATGAGATAAATGTATTATCCACCATTAAAACTTGTATTATATTTGAATAATAAATTTATCTTTGTAATATGTATTAGACTTGTATTATAAATGAGTTAAAAATGGTCAAGTAAAAAAAATGTTATTGCTATAAATGGTAAATATTTTTTTTATTATAATATATTTACGTAAATTTCCCTTTGATGATTATAATTGATTTGAAATCCAATTTAGTGAGGATTCTTTTAATTGATTAAAACTTAAACATTAGTAATTAGAAACTAAAGAAAAGTTTGAGAAATTATGTTTGCCTAGATCTAAATTCATAATTAGTAAATAAGATAATCTTTAATTAAAGATCCAATAAAATACTTTATTCTATATTTTATTATTTTTATCCACTCATTGAATAAAGTTTAAACTTTTATTTTTCTTTTTGCAAGTACCACATCGAAAATTTAAATCAAACTTTGGTACTATATATTGACCTGATGGACTTTATCTTATCGCCGAGCTCAGTAGCGTGGGCTTATAACCCGAGTGGGGGCATTAATGTGGTGGAATGTTGGGTTGACCCAGATGGTTGGGTTCGGTAGGCTTATAGTCTGGCCTGCCCTCTCCAAGCATGGAGTTGGATCACGTGGCTTAGTCGAAAGACCAGGTTGCTTGATTCCTAAAGTGGGGTGGACTGCGTGAGGCTGGTTTCACAGAGCAACGAACAGCTTCCGCTCTGTGCAGTGGAAGGATAACGGGTCAGTGCTCAGCGAGTCCAGTTAACGCCTGATGGGCTGCTCCAACTAAACCACCACTTTTTTTGCAGAGCATATATTATTTTGGCTCGAACTCTGTATTTGTGCTTAAAAAGCCACTTAATATGTATACATACATAGTTTATCGAGAATCCAATAAGCTATGTTTTCTATATCCAGAACTCATTGACTCAAAATTTTACGTTTAGACTCGGTATGTGTGGTTAAAAAGCCACTTAATTATGTAAACATACAGTTTATCGAGAACCCAATAAGCTATGTTTTCTACATCCAGAACTCATTGACTCAAAATTCTAGGCTCGAACTCTGTATGTGTGGTTAAAAAACCACTTAATATGTATACATATATAGTTTATCGAGAATCCAATAAGCTATGTGTTCTACATCGAGAACTCAGACTCAAAAATCAAGCTCCGCCTCTGCGCTGGAGCAACTCAAATAGACAACAAAAGCTGTCTATTTATAGCATTTTAGTCCATGAAGCCAAGAATGGGAACATGGAAATCAATAATCTTAACAAAAGGGGCGTATCGCTAGTCGCTTCTGGTCTACTTAACTTACCTTTTTCCACAGGTATTTTTGCTGTTTCAGCTGATGATTTATCTGAACTTTTGCTAGATTGCATTTCTTGATCAAGTTCATCCCACCCTCCGAATCTAGATACCTCTCGGTCATCCTTACTAGCTGAAACGTCACTGTTGGACACCCATGATTGATAGCCCGTCTTTCTCTTTCGTGTCTTGGAGCTTCCTCCTCTTCTCCAAAAGTTTGTCTTGCTTGAGTTGGGAGCAGCGCGTTGTCTCTTCTTAGCTGTACTCTTGCGCGTTGGTTTGTTTTGTATCACGTCCAGTATCTTTTGGATTGCAAAGAAAAGCGTAGACTGTCCAATGGGAAGGGCGAATGCCATAGCAAAAGCTTTAGCTCCTCCAGTAGAAATCAATACTATTAGAATTGGTATTAACACAAAACCGTAGGAGCAGAAGACCTGCACTGGCCAAGAACGATAACTTGTAAGTTGTTTGACGAAAATCATCTTACCTACGTTTCAATTTCTACTCGAGAACGTTGTAGCAAGACTAGTCAATAGTTAGATAGCTATAATTAGGAAGTCAGTCGAAAATGTAGTGAAAAGAAAGCTATTGAAAGTATAGACGAACACATCGAGCATAGCTCTTAAATGATTATATTAACAGATTTATCAAGAATCAAAGAGCCTTTCAAGTCCAAAGCCTCGAGATCCTGGTTAGTAGTACTGCAGTTAGATAATGCACGATTTATACTCATAAGTTGCGGTGGAGCCAGGATATCGGACATGGACAGTGGATAGGGGAAACTTTCGGATTTTGGAAGATTTGATTGGGCATAAGACTGGAAGAAAGGCTTGGGCCATTGGGCGGGAGGACGTTTGAGGACAAATGGTAATACTCAACCAAACGATATACAGGAAGAACGTCTGAAACTGATGGAAGATCTCAGAAGAATAATTAGCATAGGAAACTAGTAAAATGTTGAAGTTCTTGAGTTTTGATACTGATTCACTTCAACGGAAGTTACTTTGGAGCCTATCAGAAACAACCTCTCTACCTTCACAAAGTAGGGGGGGTAAGGCCACGTACAGTCTACACGTTGTTTCATAACGGAAATCTTGGAACAATCAACTGTTCTATACTAAATTCACTAAGTTAGAATCATGTACTTCAACAATTTGAACTCAAAAGAACACAACCTATCATTTCAAGAAAACATTATACTAAATTCACTTAATTCTAAATCAAGCTAATGTATCTAAATACACAAAAGCAATCTGGTTCAGTCTCAGCATAATCCTAAAGGCATCACTTTACACTAAACATCTTATTTCATGAAAAAAATACAAAACAAAATAACAACATACTTCCATCTTTCTCAAAGAAAAATAAAATGGATTCAGGTTAAAAGTACAGATTCCACAAAAACCTCATCTTCCTTCAATCCAAGAAGTACCTAAAAATGTCAAAACTCCATATCCATGCCAAAAAAATCCAAACTTTAAGCTGAAAACCCAAAATTCAAGTACCCCAAAATGTCAAAACCCCACATCCATGCAAAAAAATCCAAACTTTAAGCTCAAAACTCAAAATTCAAGTACCCCAAAATGTCATAACCTCATATCCATGCAAAAAAATCCAAACTTTAAGCTGAAAACCCAAGATTCAAGTACCCCAAAATGTCAAAACTCCATATCCATGCAAAAAAAATAATCCAAACTTTAAGTAGAAAACCCAAAACTCAAGTACCCAAAATGCCAAAAAGAAACCAAACTTCACAGGAAAAAAAAACAGGAACACAAGTTTATAATTCAAGAAATAAAAGGGGAGAAGCAAGAAAAGCCACTACCTTAAAGATCCAAATACTTTCAATATACTCAGCAAAAAATTGAGCTCCTTGTTCCAAGAATTCCTCCTCATCAAGCTCCTCTTCCTCATCTTCAAGATTATTAAAATTCTGGTTCTTGATGGACTCAGCATTTGAGTCCCACTTACTAGAAGGCCTACTGCAGCAGATGTGAAGGGGCTGCTGCTGCTTCTGCAGCAGAAGATGAGAAGAGAGTGGATTTAGAGGGTTTAAAGAAATGGGTTTTTGAGTAAAGAAAAGAAGAGGTGAAGGGCTGGGGTTTAAGGGTAAGTGAAGATGAAGAAGACCACCATCACCCCTATTGATGGTGGTCTTCAGTCCATTCCATTGGCCAATATTACTCATCACATTATCCTCTCAAATATATGACTATTTCAATAAATGAATTGTATATAGTCCCCAATATTTGTGTTGTTTGGTTTTAACATTTTAAAGTGATGTAAAATACATGTCATGAATATTCGATATTGAAGTTCTACTCTCTTTAGCGAATGTTTCTTCATACTCAAAAGAAACTTTAAATTCGAAATCTCTAAATATGGACAAAGGAAAGGAGATGATTGGCCAAACTTTAAAATCTAACTCAATTAGAAGACATTGAATATCTCTAAATATAATTTTCATAGAGAGAACCTTAAACTAAACACTTACATATTCGCATCCTTCGTTTCAATTTATTTATTGTGTGTCAAATCAAAATTAGACGAGCAAATGATAGAAGTATTTTATATTACCCTACTTTATATTCCCCTTTCCCATCTAATGAACATATACCAATTGAAGTAGATTAACTAAATAATTTTGTCAAATCAAACTTGATAGAATTCAATTAATAGTAAAAATGGAAAAACCAACTCTTTTCTTTTTCTTTCTTTTACCATTAGTCTACAAAACAGAAACCATTAAAAAGTACAAAATGTTGAATACATAATATATAAACACTTGCATGTTTGTGGCTGGAAATTTTCTTTTTTTTCTTCTTGAACCTTCACTTGAAAGAAAACCAACTAGTCTATTTCAATTTCTGATGTACATTTGAAGCCATATATCAATACAACGAAATGTCAAACTTTGCAGAAACAGCAATCCCAACTTTTCGACGACATTTCCTCTTCTATCATGTTAGTATTTTCTCAGCTCTCCTGAAGCCACCTTAAGCACAACGATTTTTGCACTCTCTTGTAGCACGAAAAAGATCAGTCAGTCTGTAATGTCTAACGTAAGTACACAACCGGAAGTAAAAATCCTCTCTTTGCCACCAGTGGCACACATTCAACCAACTATACAGCAAACCATCAGCAACACACTCAACTTTGAAGCCACCAGTCATTGTCCTGATATGTGTATTTTCGTTACAGCCTGAATAATCGGATGTGTTAGACAAACAAAATGTTTCAGAGGAACATCAAAAGAGCATAATCAAGAGGTATAACCCTACTCTCTCATGAAAAAATGGTTTGACGGTGATGATAAAAGATGACAGAACATGACTCAGGACTGAAATTAAAACAAATGAAGAATTGGAATTCATGCAACACGGTGGCACTTGAATCAACTTTCCCGGGTGAATTTGACTTTCGAGTTCCATCAGTTTGGTACTTCCCTCCAAACTGTTCTTTGTTGTATTTTCTATTATAGATAGTTGTTTCGACAAATCTCAGGGTTATGTCAAAACACAAATTGGTCCATAGATTGAAAATAAAATAGACATAAATCATGTACTATTTAGTCATATGTTTCCTCCTATCAAGTAGATCAACGAACAAATATCTAAATCTAAGTCAACCACCCCCAATCCATAAGGGCCCTTCATCCAAAATCGGTTTCAAGAAGCAGGCTTTCAACTCATAAGGATGTATGTGAAAGCATAGGAAAGAAGCCAGAAGCATCAATATGGCAACTATTGACAGAACCATGGAAAAGAAACAAGATAATTACCGAGTTTTACAACTACAACCATCTGCTGACATCAATAGTTTCTAGCCTTCTAAAGCATATGTTGGGACCTGCATCACATTTGCAAAATAACAGTGTCATTAGCAGAAATGAATATCCCACACCAAAACCCCCCAGGGCATCAGTCATGGACAATTATTATTTTTTTGGTTAAAGATTTTAGTTCTAGTTGTCTATAAGAAACAACCTCTCTAACCCGTAAGGTAGGAGTAAGGTTTGCATACATCGCAGACCTCGCTTGTAGAATTGCACTGGGCATGTTGTTTTTGTTGTATTACAGTTCTAGTTGACACAAAATTATGCAAATAAACTTGATGACTGGCTTCGGTTCCCAAAGGTGCAACCACATCACTAGAGGAGTTGGTACTTGTCAATTAACTGGAGTGTCCACATCCGGATACTCTCTTTCCGCCCTTGATTCATACAAAGCTAGCTCAATCTTTGAACTACTATTCTTCCCCATTTCATTTTCTGTCTGTTACCTTTAATGCTTGTTAAGAGTGTATGTGATCAGTCATGTTTCCGACTGATCTTCAAATCCCCACACCTTCCAACAACTTAAACTAAAGTATATTAAGAAAGAGAACTAATGATATCAAATACTCCTGACTGTACCTACCAACCAATCATCCCCCACCCCACCCCACCCCACCCCCCCACCCCAAAAAAAATTCAATTGGTGCAGCAGGATCAAGTTGTTGCTCTACTAAAGTCATGATTTATAGAAGTCCAACCAGAATTAAGATAAACTTTAAAAAGCTTTAGACTACCTCGAGCATGTCTTCATCAGGGGAACAGGATACTGTAGAGTCCAAACCATTTGATTTATCAAATTGCAGGATCCTCAATTTTCCTTCCTGCACAATTTAATGTTAAAAAAAAGAAGACGAATACTTTTGAGAATATGAACAATTTTATAGTTGTAACCAAAAAATGAGAAACTCATACAATGTCTGCATAACTACCTTAGTTCCATATACTAGGCCACCACCAACCAAAGGATGGAAACAAGCAACGTTAACCTCATCCTCTGCACTGGGAAGAACTCTCACAAGTTCCATATCCGAAACTCTATAGACCTGATTCAAAGACTCACAATCTGAATTAACTAGAGAAAACAAATATATACACCGACATTGTGAACAAACCAAATTCATTCTTCTTGCAGGTTCAACCAAATAATCTCAGTAAAATGTGAGCGAAAGCATAATTCTCCCTTTTTAAGTTTTATGAAGTTCAAAAACAAAGTGCATCAACACAAAAGAAATTATTTTGACATACTAGTAAACTAATTGAATTGGGCCTCTTCAACCTTAAAAGTGTCCTAAACACATTGTCACTGCACTTGCATATCAAGCTATAGTAGCTCCAGTTTATCTAGCCCCATTTTCATCAACTTAAATCCAGTCTTTCTAAAGTTAAACATATCCTGCATCACTTTGCCTAGCCCACCCCAACTTGTTTTGGACCAACGTATAGTAGTTGAGGTTGTACTTCTTCTTCCCTTTTTAATAAGGAAATGAGGTTGTGCTTCTAAAATTAGTTTTTGGTTGCACTGCAATTGAAAATAGCCTCAACAATCCATTTATGCCATACTATTTGACAGGTACAGGAGATTAAATTAGATCAATCAACATGTCATGTGACCGATGACTGATGTGAAGAAGAAAATGGCAATTTGAGTTTTCTGTACAAAGAGAAGAAAAACATAGTAGCATGAAATCAAAGGTAAATTCTTCAAAGTTGTGAAATGTAATTTAAATTCATCTAATTTGTAAATAGTGCACAACATATTCTCGTGCCATATCAATTATCAAACCTTCATGGACATACCATAGTGAAACATGGGTGACACAACATGGGTCAGAAGGAATTATATGGCTAACCCTCTGTGATTAACTAGACTCTAGAACCAACTGTCCATAACCTAGATTGATTGGCTCAGAGGTTAAGAAGTCAAAAACCCTTGCATGTTTGCAAAGAGTAAATGAAATATTTGAAGAACTTCTTAGAAATGTAAGTGACAGAACAAAAACCTTATCAGGTTTAAAACCAAACTTTTGAAACTTCCGTATGTCATATAATTATGTCAATCATTTTCACGATGTTCTAAAATAAGAAGTGTGCTACCATGACCCAGTCTTGGTGGTGGTGAAAAACTGACATTCCATAAGAAACCAGGATATAATCAGGTACTCACCTCAAGAATAGTGTAGACAGGTAGAGTTGTATCTCCATCGATCACAATACTTTTCAGAAGTGATCCATGGCGACGTCCATAGGCAAGTAAAAGATGCTCAGAAGTTGGAGAGAACTGCATTTTCAATAGATGTGGAGCAACAATCAGTTTCCCATATCAGAAAGATAACATTTCAGTCTATAAGAGCAATTATTACTGCAATTTAAAGGTGCATTTCATAAAATTGCCATTGTGAACATCTCTTGACTAGTGAAATCACTTGAGACACATTTCTTTATCCAGGAAAAAGTAGGTTCTTTTTGTGCAAATAACAATGCACAGAACGATCTACATTTATAATTAAACAGTAAGCAAAATCAAATATAACGAAGTATAGAAGTGAACGAAACAAGATAAGGTACAACACCAACCCATAGGAACTTTAAACAAAAAAAGAAATTCTACTCTCTAAAGGAAGGATCAATATTTGTGCCCAGGATTTCTTATTGAACAAGTGCTCAACCAGTTTTAAACTTCATATCCAAACAAAACAACGAGAGAGCACTTCCCCTTCATTTTTGTTCTCATCTAACAATTCATATTTTGCTTTTACTTCCTCAAAGGATTAAGACAAAAATGCTACAACAAGAAAACCATCTATAGTTCATACTCCCAGAAAACCAAAAAATCTTACCACAAAACATAATTTAGGATTATAAACCAATATGTGCAGAGCCCGAGGAGTACTAACCTGAATTGAAGTCAAACAATGAGCAGCTCTAATTAGTCGAGATGCAAGCACCCTACCAAAACTGCAACAGTGAAATAGAGTTCCCAAATGACCACCAAACAAAGACATGAAAAGAAACAAAGAATGAAGGACAAAAAGAGTAGCAAGTGTAAGCAGAGAGGAAAAGGAACAAAGACATTAGAATTGGTATTTACTTTGCCTCCTCCAAGGAATATATACGTAGCTCATACATAACCGGGTGGGCTGCAATTGGATGTCTGGTAGGTGAAGTTGCAGCATCGTGACGAAATTGTCCATGGAAACCAGGATCAGCTTCCATGCCATGACTAATACAAGCAACACAAGCTGCTAAAAATCTTCCACATGGTGAAAAGTGGGCACCCATTTCACTGAAATAAATAATGTATATCATGTAAGCACTAAGGACAGTTAATTGCACGTGATGTCAGGTTTTACAATGAAATAACAATTAGGAATTGTCAAACAACGGT